TAAGTATGTTTTCATTTAAAGGATTTGCCACTGATGATTCAAACTTGAGTTTTGGGCAGTGTAGAGTAGCACTTGTTGTTTGTAATTTCTCTGATCACAAATGCAGAGTTTTATGTTTACGCGACACAATGCAATGCAACGCAACGCGTAAAAAGACAGTATAAGTCATTATAATCAATAATTATGTCCCCACTGGATGCAACAAATGCCTCGTTTGTAATGGGTTTTAATGTTTATGTCTCGTCGCTCCGGCCGGGACACGGCATCAACAGTATGTGAGGGGCGTAACATTTCCGTCTCGCGCTTGAGGTATTCGGCCAATCACAACGCACTGGATAGCTGGCCAATCACAGCACACCTCGCTTTTTCAGACCGATGAGCTTTGTAAAAATCGACGCGTTTCAAAAAGGCGGGGCATAGGGGAGAAACAATAATGTACAATATATGGAAAATAATGTGTTTTGTTTACTTTAAACCGCATAAACACATTTCATTACACCAAATACACAAAATAATGTTATTTTTAGCAGCATCATATGACCCCTTTAAAATGTCCAGGTTTTGGCTGTTAGCACTGTGCAGATTGATCGTTGTCAAGATGGCTTTTAGAGGCTTTTGCATTGGAACTCTTCAAATATTACTGACCCCAAACTTTTAACTAGTAGTATATTTTAATGTAATGTAACGGCTTGACAGGCTTTGTGAGATTCACCCTGAAGAAACAACCTCAGCGTTGATAAATGAGTTATGGTTGATCAAAATCATCTGCTTTTACAGGAAAACTTGAGCTGTACCTGCCTGAGGGTCCGTCAACCTGATATGACCTTTCCTGTTATATGATTATAATTTATTACTGTTATCTCTATGAACACAAAAAATAGGTATAGTGTGTTGTTTGTAAGAAGAGACTCATTGTACATGTCATAAATCAGTCTGAAGATACAAAGCGCTTTAAAGGGGTCATATGATGCTGCTAAAAAGAACATTATTTTGTGTATTTGGTGTAATGAAATGTGTTTATGCGGTTTAAAGTTAAAAAAACACATTATTTTCCACATTTGGGCGGCGTTATGCAAATCTTCCCACATAGTGAGGTAGATATGTGGGGGCGTGTTAGAACGAGCCGTTTTAGGTAGGTGTGGGTGACTCTGAACTTTTATAAAGAATATCTCTTTGGATTTGAGACTTTAGTCTTTGCAACTTTACAGATCTTCTTTATGCACCAAGAGCTTGTAACACTCCAAAGAGAAAGGAAAAATTTAAATCGCATCATATGACCCCTTTAATATCCTTTAGGACATGTTGCTGTCTGTTCTGTGTCAGCTTATGGTTTACGGTCTTTTATCAAGACAAGACAAGAGAAAGCTGCCAGCTCTTGTAGATAAGAACATCTCTTTGATTCTGTCAAGGGACAGTATTTTACCCTGCTGATGTGTGTGGGGGAAAATGAATGATGTTTAATGTCAAAAACAACTCATACTTTGAAATAACAAAAATTCAGCCTTTGGCGTTTCTGTTTTCTTTTCAGTTCAATTTATGAGTATCAATTTGATTTTCTAAACATAAGCTTAAAAAAAGTATGCTATACTTGACAGATCAACACTATGTCCTTATAGTGCTTTCTATCAAGGACATTTTTTCAGTGTACAGGTTTATAATGCAATATGTTCTTAATTCTACATTATAGATTTGCGAATTCATGATTTTGTTCCTTATATTAATGTGACAATGGCTTAATTGGGGGAATATTCCACATATGTTATGAAAAAGTTTCGAAACTTCTGGCATGCTACATTTATGAAGATATAACGCATTTTCTTGAGGATATTTGATTTGAATTACAGTTACTATATCAGTGAAGGTCAGATTATCACTTCAACCATGTAATGTCAGTGTTATTATTGTTAATTAAAATTTAAACTGTTCATAATCTTTTTCGGTAATTGAAATAAAGCTGAAATAAAATAGAATTATTAGATGAGAAACTTAAACCTTGGCAACTAACTGATATAAGTTTAAATTGAAGTACTAAAACTAAAACTGAAATAAAAATAAAAATAAATATAAATATTATAATAAAAATGACAAATGCACAACAAAATTACTAAAACCTGAAAAAATAAAGGCTAATTTAAAATATGAATAAATACTATAATAATAATAATAATAATAATAATAATGCTTTTCATCAGTTTTAGTAACTGTAGTACTTCAACTTATTTCAGTTAGTTGCGAAGGTTTTTTTTTAGTTTGTTTTTCACCTAATATTTATATTTTATTCATGTAATCAATTATATATTAGGGATGTCCCGATCAGGATTTTTGTGCCCCCCCATCTGATCCGAGTCATTGAATATCGATAATCTGCCGATACCGAGTCCCAATCCGATACTTGTATATTACTATAGGAATATATGTTTGTTGCACACTTCAAGTAGATTAAAGTTATTAAAGTCAATTCAATGTACTGTATACAGACTTATGCGGAGAGTAAAAGTAATATGTATGATGTATGTATATATATATATATATCAAGATACACGTTCTCCAAGTATACTGTATATATGCACACATTGTATACAGATATTGGCAGATGTAAACATGTTACGATGGTAGACATTGTAAACAGACTGTGTAGTTACAATTATGAATATGTGACTACTGATCTAAACTTCTTGTATTTTATATGCACAATAAGCAGAATAATTGCAACATAAAGTGGAGGTAAGATTAGAAAGCATGAAGCTCATGACCAGTCTGTCAGTCAAGTCCGAATCAAGACACAACCCACAGCAACGCCTTATGACAACGACCTCTCAGATAGTCTGACAGCAAATAAAAGTAAACGATAAATGAATGAGTTATTGTTACAAAAGTGTGCATCAAATACACTGAACACGGAAGCTCAAACGTGCAGGTGACGCGCTAGAACAGACCCCTTATTTACACTGCACACGTCTGCGGCGCATTACGGCTCCGACACATCCACCAGAGCTGATCGCAGCCACTCTAGTCAATGCTTGTGTTTATACCAGCCACGCCGCGGCAAGTTTCAGAAGCATCCCAGAAGTTGCTCCCCGTGCTGCTTCGCTAAAGATAGGCGCCTAGTCTATTTTTGACAGACGCCGCATCCAAGTCGCACAGTTCAAATACAAAAGAAACGCACTGAGCAGATGAGACACAGCTACAAATATTTTAGCCTTGTCGTTCATAACTGGACTTTTAAGTATATTAACTTTGTCTGTAGGCTATAGCACAACAAAGCAGGACATAGCAATAAACACAATAATAAACACAATTAAACCGGACAACTTAAACATGGTAAAACCCCAAAATAAAATAAAATAAACACACAGAAAATCAAGAAAAACAAAATCTGACATAAAATAAGGCTCGGGCTTAGGAGAGCTGATACCGATCAGTAAAAAAAAAATGTTTTGATCGGCCCCGATATATACAAACACACTAAAATGACTACTACTAATAATAATAATTCTAACTTTTACTATAAAACTAAAATTGTTGTTCCTAATTAAGCTATCAGCCGACTGGTATTTACTTTTATTGTACTCTTCTTTCTTCCAGCTGGACCAAAAGCACTAGTATGTGATCAGTGTGGCGCTCAGTTTTCCAAGGAAGACGCCCTGGAAGCCCATCGGCAAACTCACACAGGTAGGACCCTTCTTGCCTCATCTAACTGCAAACCACTTCGCTAAATCACCTTAGTTAAGCACAGTGGAAAAAAACAACAGTAAAGTGGAGATGCGTCATGCATGTACCAGTAGCAATCATGTTTATGACCCTATCAAAACTCCATTCTGATGGTCTTCTATAATTCAGCAGGGAAGGTTTCGGTGCCCTCTAAAATTTCAGCCAATAATATGTGCTGTTACAGGGCAGGGTGGCACACCGCTTTGGCACAGCAGCAGTGCCATGTTTCACCAATCTCCATCACTTTGTCTAAACATGGCACGTACATTTGTTAGAGCGACTGTACTGAGTTACCAGAGCCTGTGAGTCATCGGCGCTCTGGCACGATCATTAATACGCCAACAGCGCTCAGCTGCCACCCTCCTGTCAAATATTCATATTTACTGACATCTGATGACTGCAAGGTGTGGTACTACAGACATTTTAATAATCATATTTTAGGTGAGGTAAATAGTGAGCTCTGATAGGGGTTGGCATGGGATGATATATTGAGTGTAAACTTGTTTTTGCTGCTGCATACCTGAGTGTACTCTATCAGGACACATTGGAGCATGTAGGCATGAGACTATAGTCTAATTAAAATTAAAATTCTGTCATTATTTACTTAACCTGTTGTTTTTCATGTGTTATATCACAAGTCTTCAGAAGCCACATGATAGCTTTGTGTGAGGAACAGCCAGAAAAGATACAAGTCATCTTCCCCTCCAGTGAGCTGTTAACTTGAGAATCATTGCAACTGGATCTTTGATTCAGTGAGTTGAATTTGAGAGCTGGATAATACGAACAAATCATTCTTTTGATCTAGTTTCAATGAACCAGCTGATTCGGTTCACAAATCAGGCTAAAACTATTAGTTCAAGTATTGAACTGATTCGTTCATGAGTTCATCTCACTGAATAAGTGATCAGGTCACAGCAGTTCTTAAGTTAACTTTTTCCAACTAATTAGTTTTTTTAACTAATTTTCAGTCTATTCTACACAGAAAGCTATTCAGACTTGGAAAAAAAAAGTGTGATTGATGTGTAATGATACTTTTGGGGGGGGGGTCATTTTTGGGGCTTAACAGATGTATGAATGCTAGTTTGAGTCCAGCTTGTGACATTTCCTGCATCTTTCCTGTCATCACTCCACTATTTATATCAATAAAAGTGGTAAAAATGCCACACATGTCCCTGAGTCTATATGCAGTTATCCCATAAAGAACCTGGACACTCAAGCCGTGATTAAAAACATCTGAAAAAAAAAAAAAAAAGTGGCATTCATTTATTGTACAGGAAGATAACTCAAGCACACTTCAATCAAAATATTTCACAAAAAGAAGGTTATTAGAGTTGAAATTATAAAAAAATAGACATTACTGTAAGTAAAGTGAAGTTAGAGACACACTGGAACATCATTTGTTTTTATACTTTATCTAATTCATTGACATTTCAAGTGTGTCCAAACACTTTCATGGCCACTTCAGTCCAATAACAGTGCTCTAATCTCTATACTTCGTCCTATATAACCATTATTTTCTACCTGTACTTCTGTTACTTATTGGCTGATGAAACTGCTGTCAGAGGATACAGTCTGTCACAGGTATTCCAGACTGCACTAATTAATTTGCTCTCTTGGTATAAAAGCGTTTCATGGGGCTAATGATCCACATGTTGAGTCTATATAAAGGTTGAGTCCTAATTAAAACAAGGTGCCATACTTTTGTCATCTGAGTGGATTTGAGGTGTTAAATGTTTCCATGGCAGCCAGCTCATAAAATCTCTGAATTTCTGTTGGATCCGAATCAGGACTGTAATATATTTGTATTATTTTTTACAGTAGGGTATGTTGCTACTACAATGAGGGTGCAATATCTGTCGCCTGGGAGAAAGACGATAACCCTCTCTAAAACGTTGGCATGTAACTGTAACTCGCTGTGGCACACACTGTATAAATACTTAATGCATGTCGACATAGAGGTGGTGTTAACGATGCCCAGAATTGTATACCTTCTCTCCCAAACTTGTAAACATCCCATTCTCCGTTTCAGTTTGGCAGCACATTTAGTGGGGAGGAGGGAAGGACATACCTCATCCACGCTGAGAAACCTTTTTACCGCTGGGCTCCAGCCATCTCTCACTCAGAGCAAAGTGAGAGATGTTGTCATCACTTACATATATTTTCTGGACTTAACCAAGCAAGAATTTTACATTTCTGAACAATATGCGATGGAGCCAAGATAGCCTTCCTGTGTGAAAACTCAGATGGTGAAGAAAAACTAGGGCCTTGTTTTTATTTGAAGCAGCCTTTTTGGGAACAAAATTCATTTCTAGGCCTATGGCATGGGAATTGAGAAATTTACCAAATGATAGATTATTATTATTATTATTATTACCGGCAATGAAACTATTAAACTATTTAATCAAATTAAATACCTATTTAAAAGTAGCTTTGAAAAACATGTTTCAAGAGCCCTTTGTTCTGTTCTGTCATTTTTTTTCTATTTTCTATTTTCCAAAGAAACATAAAAACCAGGCATTTTATATAAACTTCTGATGATTAATTTTAATTATATATATATATATATATATACCTGTCAATATGCGGTGCTGTGTGTACATTAATGAGGAAAAAAAATTAACTTAAATGATTTTAGCAAATGGCTGCAATATAACAAAGAGTGAAAAATTTAAGGGGGTCTGAATACTTTCCGTACCCACTGTATATAAAATAGAGGATCAATTCTGCTCTTTTTCTTTCTTTTTTATTTTATTAACAGTAATAAGTGGCCACTAATAAAATTCTATACTATTTTTCTTAAATTAAAAAATAAACAATAAAATCAGTATGAATGCTGCAAGTGAATTTAGGCATAACAACATTGTGATAAACAGTATTTAGATCATACAGTATTTAGAAGATTTAACATTGTTATTAAATTATTTGTGTTTTTAGACATTAACTTTGAGTGTTAGATTACAGCTAAAATGTAATATAAAGGAGAATTAAATATTTAATTGACTGATAAATTAAATAATAATAATAATAAATATCTTATATTGCCTGACAACCAACAAGGTACCGATATATTGTACATCATTTTTTGTAGATGGTTGGATTTGAATTGTTAAATACTCATGTCAGTTACTTATGCAAGGGTCAGAACCATGTTACAGTTCATCATAGCATTATGCAGCCATCTGATGAGTTAATTTTATCTTTACTAGCCAGTTTTTTCTTGCATTTGAGTATTAATTCTGACTCTGGCTTTAAGCAACTCGATTGTCTTCGAATGCTAGCATATGTAAGAATGTCAGAGGTGAACGGCCTGGTTTTTTGAGGTTTTTAGGGTTGCAAATGGAAAAGAAGATTGCAGGAGACCCGTGGGACAGGGGCCGGCCGAAGGGGGGAAGCTGGTGGCATTTGGTGCCAGGACAGAGCGAGAGACAAACAACATCATGTGCTGTTGTTTACACTCAGCCGCTGTGCTGTCATAGACGAGACCTACTAGAGAGCTGACCTACTTAAAAGCCTCCTAAAATAAAACTCACTAGTGTCTCAGGACCGACGCACTGGCGGGCAGGCTGGAAAGCAGGCCAGCACATCGCAGCTTGCTTTTCCTCTTCTCCCCTCTTGACGGAGAAGCGCTTTATCGCATCCTTCGCAGAGCAAAATAAAATGTTATTAAAGGGGTTTTATTTGGGACCGGAATAGAAGCGATTTGCCTTTAAACGATTTTGGTCTGAGGGGCGACCACTCGTCCATCTGTCTTATGTGCTTATGGTGTCAGATTTCCTAAAAGTCTTCCATCGCGCTCATCTCGCTGCACAAGAAGTGTCTTGCGTTTACAGTTTGGGTGAGGGCACAGTGGAATTACTCACCGGGAACACGTTGTGACTTCAGCGATCTGGTCCACAGAATAAACAGTGGTTAAACAAGAGCAATGTATCGCTTGTTGCGTTAATTATTAAGCAGACCCTTCCTTACTTTGCTAGATTAGCCCGTCTGCCTCTCACTTTGCAGCCGAGCAGGGGTCATCTGAGGTATAGCCAATGTGTCAGAGTCATCCACACACACCAATCTACCCGGTTATATTTAGTAAAATGCATTTGAGCTCTTGTGACTCTGATACATTTTAAAGGAATAATTTACAGTGGCTCCATATGATAATGCATGTGTTTTCCTCGGACACACACCTGCTGTGGTTCTTAGAATCGTTCCAACCATGTATGACTTTCTTGTGTGGAACGAAAAAGGTGAATTTTTGAAGAATATCCTGACTGCTCTTTTCCATGAAAATGAATGGGGACTGGAGCTTTCAAACCTTCATTTAAGACACAAAAACATCATAAAAGTTTCATGAGTGGTCCATATGACTTGTGCTTTATATTCCAACACTTCTTACGCCATATGAGAGCTTTGTGGGAAAAACAAACAGAAATTAAGCCATAATTCTCTGAAAAGCTTCCCCTTCAGTGAGTTTGTAAGCGACTGAATCATTGAGTCAGAAAACAGAAGAATCAAACCAGTCTAATTCATAAACAAAAAAATATATCAAATGAGTCTTTTAAAAAACATTCTAAGAAAAATGTTTTGCTCACAAAATCGTGGCCAATTTTTTGTTTTATTTATTTATTTATTTATTTTGCTTACTAAAATTGTATGTACAAGAATCCATCATAAATTATGGAGCCTCGCACATGACATGCAGGAATAAAAACAATATATCCATAAATTAGGATTTTGTTTCCATGATTTACTAATTTGTTCTCTTGATTTATGAATTTGTTCCCTCATTTTAGGGAACAAAGTAGTACAACGTGGCCACAATTCACCTAAAATGTGGGAACAAATTAATCAAATGTGGCCACGAATTAGTAATTTGTGGAAAGAAATTCTCAATTTGTGGACACAATTTCAGTTTTTTTTTTTCTTCGCATGTTGTCTGGGGGTCCGTAAATTTTGATGGAAATTCTAACAGA